ATTTGACTTTACAATAATTTCAGATTGAATGATCTAAACATCTAAACGTGGCTACAAAAATAATGGGCAGGCGGCTAAAATTAATTTCTTCCATCCAAACTGAAAATGGTAAAAGGAAAATCTCCATCCATTTTCTCTTCTCTCAATGAGCGGCATATCATCGTCTATACACTGGTGAGACCGGAACCAATTGTTTGAAAGCAATTCAACTATGCGCTTTTCAAGTCTTGTTGCTCCTGGCCCAGGTCTCAGAATATCAGCATCACCCCAGACTGAACAAGTACCATTCCCAGGCTCACCTAAGCACCATCCACCAGGTACAACTTTACCAGGACTGCGTTCCAATATTTCGCGGTCAATTCGATCAAGAACTGAATCATCAAATGGAAATTCTGTGGCAAAGGCAGCTCCACTCTCAACCATAATATCAAATTCCTTAGAATTAAGTTGGCGATGCTTCTCTTTTGAGGAGTCATTGAAGGTTACATATAGTAAGTTGTGGTTTATGACAGTCCTGTTAAACTGCGGTGAATTACATAGGATAGTGGGGAAGTAGTTGGATAGAGAAGAAGGTGTGTTTGACAAATACATCAGTAGAGTCCTAGGGAAGTTGTCTGCACCCAGGACGCAGAACTCAATAAAATTACGACTTAAGATAGAGAAAGATGGACCTGCAAGGGAGAAAAACACTCCATATAGCGATGACATTCTACCAACAAATAATAATTCTCATGAGCAGAATTTACCAAAAAAAGAATCTGATAGGCACCCAAAAAAAAACCCATGCTGTGATGCATATCTTAAATAAATCAGAAAAATGTAGAAAATATATTGACAGGATTTTTTATGCTTCCAGGCGACTTATTAAAGTAATTGCTAGAAATTCTGCTATTCCAAAAGAAAAAAAAACAACTTTCTTATAATCATTCCGTGATTGAAGGTGTAACATACTAGCTGCATAGAAATTCACACCTACTAGAGGCAAGCACTTCATCCATAATTGAGCTCAAAATCTAATGGCTGAATGTAAGTTCTAGATAACGTCGTTCAAACTACGAGACAAACTTGAACCACGGCATTCTAGAATCATGCATAAAACTGAAACAGCTCAAAATTTTTCCTGATATCTAATGGATCCTAAGGTAATAAATGGTAGGAAAAGTTCGTAACCTTCTAGATAAGCATACTAGAGAATTAGATGACGTCCCAAATGTTCAAGTTTTCAGGATGCTATTTTTTTTTTTCGGCATGCAGTGAATACCACTTTTGGGCTAAGATTCTGACATTAGTGCAATTCATCTGAATCTCAAACTAAAATTGTTCTGCGCAGAATTGGGAAATTCAGTTGAGCATAATTGGTAACTTCCAGATTGACTTCGTAATGGCTCCTATGACTAACAATTTATAGGAAAAGGATAAACTAGTGAGTTCAACAAGAAATAGAGCAATATTGCAA